CCTTCTTGGCAGCCAGGGCACACTGCTGGCTCATGGTCACCCTGTCGTCCACCAGCACTCCCAGGTCCCTCTCCGCAGAGCTGCTCTCCAGCAGGTCAGCCCCAGGCTGTACTGGTGCCTGGGGTTGTTCCTCCCCAGGTGCAGGACCCTGCACTTGCCCTTGTTGAACTTCATCAGGTTTCTCTGCGCCCAAATCTCCAGCCTGTCCAGGTCTCGCTGAATGGCAGCACAGCCACCACTCCTCCCAGCTTTGTGTCATCAGCAAACTTGCTGAGGGTACGCTCTGTCCCACATCTGCCAGCTCTCTCAGCACTCGTGGGCGCATCCCATCAGGGTCCATGCATTTGTGGGTGTCCACTTTGCCTAAATGATCTCTAACCTGATCCTCCTGAACCAAGGGAATGTCTTCCTTTCTCCAGGCTTCCTCTCTTACCTCCAGGGACTGGGATGCCTGAGGGCCAGCCCTAGTGGTGAAGACTGTAAGCAAAGAAGGCATTTAGTAACTCTGCCTTCTCTGCATCCTCCGTCACCAGGGCACCCACCTTGTTCAGCAGCAGCCCCACATTTGCCCTAGTATTCCGTTTGCTGCTGATGTGTCTGAAGAAGCCCTTCTTGTCTTTGGCATCCCTTGCCAGTTTTGATTGCAGGTGGACCTTAGCCTTCCTTGTTGCATCCCTGCATACTCTGACTACATTCCTGCATTCCTCCTAAGTGGCCTGTCCCTCTTTCCACATTCCATAGACCTTATTCCATCTGAGTTTTGCTAGAAGCTCCTTGCTCATCCATGCAGGTCTTCTGCCTCCTTTGCTTGATTACTTACTCATGGGGATGCACTGATCTTGAGCATGGAGGAAGTGATGCTTCCTCCATGTGACCAGCTCTCTTGGGCCCCGCTACCTTCAAGAGCCCTAACCCATGGGATTCCTCCAAGAAAGTCCTTGAGGAGGACAAAGTTAGCTCTCCTGAAGTCCAGAGCTGTGATCCTACTTACTGCCCTGCTTCCTCCACGCAGGATCCTGAAATCCACCATCTCATGGTCACTGCAGCCAAGGCTGCCCAACCTTCACATCCTCAACAAGTCCATCTCTATTTGTCAGCACAAGGTGCAGCAGCACACCTCTCCTCATTGGCTTCTCCACCACCCGCCTCCAAAAGTTACCATCAGTGCTCTGCAAACCTCCTGGACTGCGTATGTGTGGCTGTGTGGTCTTTCCAGCAGGTATCAGGGTGGTTGAAGTCCCCCATGAGAACCAGGGCTTGTGATCGTGAGGCTACTTTCAGCTGTCTGCAGACACCACTTCTAAGCGCGTTATGGAGGACTTCAGTTATGTAAAGGATTAAATCCGTTGACTCTGGTTGCAGCCAAGCTCAGACTTCTGCAAATCAGACCACGGTGTCTAAAGTCACAGAGAGATAAAATGGGGAACATGCCATTGGTGGCCACATGTGCAAAGCTGGGCTTAAATCACGTGTTTAACCGCACGCAGGAATCCACGGGCAGGAGATTTAGTTCCTCAGCATTCCCCTGCTTGAGTGCAGTCCTCTTCTTTCCATCAGTTGCTCCATGCAAGTGGCACGTACCAGCAAAGCAAGGACTGGATGGCACGAGGGCCCGTATTTGCTAAGGCTGTGCATGGCAGTTTCAGCTAGAGTTTCCCTGCTTTTTGTTAGTCGTGCTGCTAATTAGGAAGTACACATGGGTCAGCTTTAGGTCTAGATAAACAAATCCTTCCTGTTTGGGAGTTACTTGAATTTTGATGGAGAGACAGATAATCTGTAAAAGTGAGGCAGATGCAGTCCAGACATAACTGGGAAGGTGAGGGAGGGAGAAGACTGAACACCCTCCGAAAACATCATGAGGATTTGACTCTCTCTGACTCGTGTCGGGAAGCTGGCTCATGACAAAGGGCTGAAGATGGGTAAAAAACTGTACTATGTGATGTTGCGTAAGCATCACCGCTTCTCTGCCTTTCCTGCCCTTTAAATAGCTCTTTAACCACCTTTCCAGCTGCCTCTGCTGGCTTCTCAAAGCTGGTTTTTAGAAGCTGCAGGAATATGACAGGCTGAAAGCACTTGAACACCTCCTGAAGCAAGCTTTAAACAATTTAGAGTATCTCAGACATGCAAAGGTGTGTAAGGCAAGCGGGTAAGCTGTACGGTTCACCCGGGGCTATGGTCTCCTAGCCCAGCTTTGAGCAACACCAGTCTCCATCTGCTGCCTTCCCCTCCTCTGACCCCAGCCAGCCCAGCGCTCGTGCCCTTGCTTGGTGTTTCTGCTGCCCTTTGCACTTGGCAGCAGCTGCAGTAACTCTGCAGTTAGGCAGCGCTAAAGGGGTACCTGGTTAGGTTAATTATTTTAGAAACTTTTATTTTTGCAAGAAAAGCATCTTTCTATGGATCTGTCATTCGTACCTTTCTAGGACACGCATGGTTAAAACATACAAAGAGCCTGGCAGCGTGTGTTCTCTAGAAAACAGCCGCTCTTCGTTCCACTTAGCCAAAGCCACTCACAAACTTTAG